CCGGACATCGACCCAAATTAGTAGAGCATAGAAAGGACTTACACTCCGTTTCCCTCCGTTCCAGCCCAATAATTTATTACTAAGAACCTTGTTAGTTAATATAACGATAAATAGCAAATTTAAAACCAAGCTTAACCCATTTATTTATTTTTATGAAAATTGATACATTTAATATAATAACCTAACACTTTATTCTAAACAAAGGTAAACATTGAAAAGATTAGAATTGGTTTTTAAAAACAATATATCATGTACCATGCTTGGATCTAACCAGTTTCGCTTGTTTGTTAATACATTGCCTGCATCAGAGAACAATCGCTCTGAGGGTACCGAAGTTGCTGGAAAAGCAAGAAATTTTCGAGCTAATACTGCTAAGTTTGGGTATTCTTGCCAATTTGTATGCCACCATGTGAGAGGATTATGAGTTTTATAAAGTGGCTGATCAATGTAATATTTGTTCATTTGTATAACTTTGTTATAACGTTCTAATTCATTATATACTAAGTGTTTAGACTGATTATTGCTATCAAAAAATCGATTCATTTTAGTTTGCATTGGGGTGTCAATCGTATTTGCTGATATTTCAATCATATTAGATATAGTCTTTTCAACACTTTTTTTTTTCTATTGTCAGTAAAAGAAAGATTTTTAAACCGTGGATCTAAATAAGAAGCAATATATGCTTCAATCAAAGGAAACTTCCAATGTTTAGTTATAGAATCTTCAATTTTTTCACAAACATCCTTAATTTTAAATGAATTTATAGATTCATTTATTTGATGTAAATGTGAAAGTAAAAGTGAGATAGTAGGAAGCATCATTCCAAGAGTCGGATACTGTGCACCACCAATTAAGGTTCTAGAAGTATAATTAGTTCATCTACTTTCCATTCTTCTTCTAAAAGTAACCTTTTATTTAAACTTTGTCCATCTTTTTTTTGTTGTGATTCAGGATGACAGCTTAAAGATTTTGCAAGGTGTTTTACAGCATCTTGTAATTGAATTAATCATTTTAAGACAAAAAATGTCGAGTTCTATCTATCTTCATATCACGAATGAGTTCAACAATAGATAAGTGTGAATTTTTTTTTAATTGTTCAGATTGTGTTGATAATTCTGATGAATCATCAGATTCTAATTCGGAATTTTCATCTCCAAGTAGTGACCATTCAGAATTTTCTAAAATATTTACTTGTAATTAATTAAATTCATTTTGAATATTTTGAAGACTTTGACGGTATCGATCCCTTTTTACTAACTAATTGTTTAATTTTTTTGCTTTATTTATAAGATCATCACATAAACTAAAACCATCTTTAACAGCCAACTGAATTGTATAGGCAGTGCAACGAATTTGAGGTGTCTCAAGCAATTTCATTCCTTTGACAATTGCTTTATCATTGTCAGTTGTTTCTCCAATTAGCTTATCACGTATATTCCAGTATTCAAAAATCTTTGATAAAAATTGTTCTTGGCGCTCACCTGTGTGTGGGTAAGGAAACACTTCAATAGTTAAAATTGCCTGATATAAGTCAAAGTTTTTTGAAAGCCAGTGGATAGTTACGCCAATATAAGGTGTATGCATACTAGTCTACATATCAGTGGTGAAACAAAATGTTTGCATTGTTTCAGATAATAAGCCACACAATTGTTCTTCGGCAAAAAGTACTGATTCTCTAATTTTAGTTTTAATATAAGCAGAACCAGGAACTTTAAAGTGAGGATCCATCTCCTGACAAAATAACTGAAATGTATTTTCCTCTACAACACTTAAAGCTTGACAATCTTCAACCATCCATAAAACCAAGCGAGATAATATTCTTTGTTGCTTAGCTGGTTTGTGATTATCCATTTTTGAAAATAATGAAAGAATAGTTGAAATTGATTTATCTGATTCTATTATAGTCTGTTCATTTGAATTTTTTTTATACTGCTGGCTAGAAAAAATTCGATGGATTGAATTAAGATGTTCACCAAGATGTGTAGTTGAAGTTTTAATACTAAAAAGTCTACCACATTTTTTTTCAATCCCATCTAAATTAAGTGTAATTGCATCACAAGTTATTTCTTGTTTTAATTTATTTTTTTTCATATGTTCCCAAACCCAGCTAGCAGTTGTATTCGTATTATCTGATAAGTCAGTATTGTTTACTAAAATTTTAATATTTTGAACTTCTAAAGATCGATTAAGCATAGTTTGTTTATAATTTTTATTTTGATGCAACTTATTTACCATTTCAATTTGTTCTTTAGATGAGCAATAAGATGGTGAATGCAAAGATATAGAATCATATGATAATATGCTTAAAGGTTCTTCTTCACTTCTACCAAAACTTCGTCTGATTTATCAGTTTTTTGTAACTTTTCATGTCGATTATTGCTATTATTATTGTTTAAGGGTTCTAAGTCATCAGGGGTAATTTGAGCATTATCTCTTTTTTGAGAACGTGTATTATGTTTTTTACTCATATTTAAAAAAAAGGTATTTTAATGAAAGTGTTTTAAATTTTGAAATAGTTCCTTTTTTTTAAAGAAGATAATATTATATTGGTAAAAGTTTTTATTTAAGTAATCAAAAAAATGGGTGTATTAATTAGATTTTTAAGCGATTAAAAGGTAATTATTCATATAATAGATTTTTTTTTTTTGCTGATTAAAAAGTAAGGATTGTATATGTATTGATTAAGGATTTTTTTAAAGTAATTAAAAAACAAATTGTGTTTGTATAAAGCTTTTAAATAAATGCAAAAGGTATATTAATTAAAAAAAAAAATTAAATAATTAAAGAATTCCGTATAGAGTAAAGACAAAGACATTGTTAAAATTTGAATGAAATACTTATTATGTTTAAACTTTATAGAACGCATATATAAAACTGAGTAATAAATTATATAAGAGTGACGAAAAATGTAGTCATCGACATAATATTTATATAAACCTGAGTATTAAATTATATAAGAGTGACGAAAAATGTAGTCATTAAAAAGTTTTTAAGTAAATGCTAGTATAGTTTATTTTACTTAGTAAGTACAAGTTTCATTTATTCTAAAAATAACAAAGTCAACTTGATTTTTACTTGTAATTTTCAAGCTAAATTTTATTGATACAAAATAATGGGAAAAAATCTATGATTGTTTTATGTATAACAGCACGAATTGTAATAGTGCATACGTATTCGGTATTTGGAATTAATATTATTACTAAGTAAACATATTTGTAAATGCATAACAGGTATTTACTTGTTAATATTCATACATATATGAAATAGATTATGTGAAGAATTTTTTTTGTTTAATGATCGGCCCGCCCAGCCCAAAGAGGCAAGGGTCGACCCTCAACCTGCTCGCCCGCCCAGCCCAAAGAGGCAAGGGTCGACCCTCGACCTGCTCGCCCGCCCGGCCGATGGGCTGGGGCCAGCCCATATCACTATAACGTGCGCATTAATGCGCATTAATGTGCATTATATTATAAAATGCGCATTTTCCCCATCTCTACTTAGTGCGACTTGATTCCTTGTCGTTCTTGTATTTGGTCAGGATTGCAATAAATTAAATTACAACCTTGTGTTCTTATAATAACATTCTTCAAAACAATCGGTAAAAATTAACTATTGAAGTATTAAAATGCTTACAATATTGCATTTGACAATACAAAAGAATAAACTTATAAAATTTTTCTAAATTTAAACAAAATTTATCTAAAAATTTATTCTAAATTTTGCCTAAATGTTTTGTTGTTATCAGAAAAAATTTTGATTTTTAAAACTAAAATTTTACGGTCCCAGACGGGACGGGATTATACCATTTCTCTACTCTTATACTTCTCTACCGCATATTTGGTATTTTCACCTGCTTCTCCTCTCAAAGCCGGCCTGTTCCGGCAGGCGGGAAACCACCGGCTGATCAATCCTACGGCGACTCCCAGCCAGGGACCTGTAAAATTTTAGATATAAAATTTTCACAAAAAATCTAAACCTTTCAAGTATCAGCTTAAATTTTCTAAAATTTTTAAATTATAGAGAATTTATATCTAAAATTATCAATATTAACTAAAATTTTCTAAAAATTCCCTTATTATATTATAGTTTGTGATACATAGGAATGGGATGCTTCCCAGGTGGAATATTTCGAAATTTCACAATTCTGGCCTGCATTAGCAGTAAACTACTATAACGTGGGCCGCAGTAGATTCAAAAATATTTGATTTGTTTATCCCCAGTGATACGTATTTTATTTTTAATAAAAATTTTATACAAACTTAACTTATTTAACTTCTAAGACATATAGTATATGACTAATCTATATTGGATATTGGTGCCGTACATAGATTGATGTGAATTAGTGTGATTTGATTCCTATTTTTATATTTAGCAATATTCTTCAAAACAATCGCAAAATTTAAATGCTGAACTATTAAGTATTTTATCAAAACAAAAGATGGACTTATAAAATTTTTCTAAATTTAAATCAAAATTTATCTAAAATTTATTAATTTAAATCAAAATTTATAAATTTAACTAAATTTAGCCTAAATTTATTGTTGGCGTCAGAAAAAATTTTGAGTTTTTAAAGCTAAAATTTTACGGGTCCCTGCTCCCAGCGCAATGATTGTTGCAAACTTCTCTGGATGTAATTGCCGTTCTGGCTAATCGCGCCCAGTCATTTGCTTATCTGCCATCATTTACAAAATCAATTTTAACTGCTTTAATAAAAACTACCTCAGGCCTAAATAATGCCGGCATAGCCCAAACATGAGTAGTGTAAAAGCGATACTTTTCGTGTTATTGTCATACCGCCTACTATATCTAATTATTTAATTGCAAGTGGGTGACGATGCGCAATTTCAGTATTTAGTAAAAAAAGAAGTGTGAAGTTTAAATGTGGCTGAACGAAGTGAGGATAGAAAAAAAATACGGATTGGCTATATAGAAAGAATTGTCAACTATGATTATGACGTT